TTGAATCTAAAGGACTGGCCGTTATGGAAGCTCCAGTACCTCCCGCCAAGTCACTCCAATCAAACACTAGCCTTTCCATTAGAACCTTTTCCTATTAAGTAACCAAATATTTTTTGCTTTGATTTTGGCTTGTAACTTCTCATCGTACATATGCTAAGAAACTAAGAACAGATTCCCTTTCCCCCCTGCCCCCTCCTCTTCACAAGGATTTATAGAATTTATTACCATGTTAGCCCATTCCTCACCCTAATTTTTCTTTCTATCTTAAATAATTCTGACTTTAATAATTTATATTTTCTTCAAAAGTTATATTTTCAGGATTGCTGAGCATTCTCAGTGTTCCTCTCACTCTAAGTGGTCCACACCTTGAAGTGCAGCACCTGAAACTTCACACAGATGTTCAGGCCCATGTTGGCCCAAAAGCTTTGGAATCAATTGTGATATTATATGATTAAAAAAAACCCCAAAAACCAACAAAAACAAGAGGTGTGGATAGCCACTACAAAAATAGACTGATATAATGTGATTTAATTTTTAAAATCAATTACACAATCTTTTTATTTGCAGGAAGGGAAGGATGGGAAGTTCCTATAGGAGGATAAAATAATTGACTCAAAACAGAAAAGCTAATTTTTATATATATATTTTTGTGTGTGTGTGAATTCAGAAAATAATTTTAAACATTGTGAATTAAACACAGAGTTAAGTAGATATTGCTGCCTAAACAGTGATCAAAACAACCTACACATCTGTGGGAAGCCAGCGCTTTCAGAGCAGCTACATACTGTGCCCTGGACTAGGGAAACCTGTAAGTAACTGAAGTCAAAGTGAATGGTTCAATAGGCTATCCTAATAACATTTCTGACAGCACTTTTGATCAGGCAAGTAGAGATCTTCATTTAGGAATCTTAAAACAAGATGAACACCACTGAAAACCAGAAAAATGTCATCTGTGTAATTCTTTTAAAATGTCTATTCTACTTCTAACTACCCTGAGAAGGCAGAGAAATCCAGTGAGCTAGTCTAGATTTTTTTTCTCCATCTTCCTCACAAAAAATACACTGTACAGATAGGAGACATTTAGATAATACAGAAAGGCTATACTAAAATTAGGGAAAAAAGGTAAAGTAATATACCATGGATACTGCCCCTGCCCTCTCCCCCAGCCATATACAATAGAAGGCATTTTCACTGAACTGTACACGTTCAGGGAGCTACAATGATGTGTTTTCCAAATAGTTGTTTTCCCCTTGCTAAATCAAGATACAAATGTTTTCGAAAGGTTGCTAGCATTTTCAGCTTTATGTGTAAAAGCATGTCCAACTTGGTTTTCAGGTGATGATGTCTACATGGCTAATGAAAATGAGAGACAAGAATATGTTCTAAACGAAAATGGAATAATCTTTGTGGGCAATGCAAAGTACATTGAAGCGAGAGGATGGTACTATGGACAGGTAAGCCATAAGGAATTTATTTGGGCTCTTATTCTGTCTCCAATAGCATTTTCTCTCATCATTATTTGCCCCTCTGATAGGTATGCCTTATTTACGTGAAAACTGAACAAACCTGGCTAGCCTTATTTGTGGTTTGCTCATTGTGTGCCTAATAGGAATTTGGTGTGAGAGATGGCTTAGCACAGCACTGCACCTAGGGCTGACTTCAACGCATGCTTGAAGCTCATGGTACAAGTCTGGACCTCATCTGTGACCAAAGGGTACAAGCAACAATATCCTCGTGTGGCTCCAGCACACCCACTATTTTTGTCATGCAGTACAATGGGCCAGAACTGACATTGACGTGGAATCATAGAACGGTTTGGGTTGGAAGGGACCTTTAAAGACCATCAAGTCCAACCTCCCTGCATGAGCAGGGGCCTCTTCAACTAGATCAGGTTGCTCACAGCCCCATCCAGGGTGGCTGGATATTAATTTTTTAAATATATTTTAAATATATGGGCTTTTATATTTTTAATATAAAATATAAAAACTGTTTCCAGGGATATAACTCAAGAGAACCTAATAACTGCAGTCAGAATAAGCTTGGCAGTTTCAGTTTTACTGCAGTCATCTCTTCTGATAGCAAAAGAAATCCTGACAGATTTTTGCTTTATTTAGTTAGCCCTGCCTTTAGCCAATACTGCAGTGTACATGCCTCACTGTCCCTATCACCTTTGGGCTGGACTATCTTAGAAAGGAGGAACTGCAGTAGAATCTCCTCTAATTCTGTTTGTGAAACTATCTACTTTCTTTAAAATTATCTTATCTGATCAGTTTCAAGATCACCTTCTAAACATCTGTCTCACCATGCTTGATCTGAGCCTGTACTATCGTCAGGACCCAGCCATGGACGTATCCCGGAGGGGAGACCCTAAATACGTGGGCCGTGTCATCAGTTCTATGGTAAGAAGTGGACAACTTAATCCGAACTCCACATGGTTAAGCAAAAGGATTAGTTATACCACTGAGACTCAGCCACCTGCACCTTAAGCAATATAATTAACTAGATATGGTGTATTTTTAGATCAATGGAAATGATAATGATAATGGAGTTCTCCTGGGAAAGTGGCAAGGAAGTTTCCATTCACATGAGAATCCATCTAGATGGGATGGTAGTGTGGTAATCCTCCAGAAATGGCGTCAGGACAACTACAAGCCTGTTCAGTATGGCCAGTGCTGGGTTTTTGCAGGCGTGATGTGTACAGGTAAGCTTTAAGAACGGAACTGTGGTGAAATGGAGGCATTTGTGACCTCTGGCTTTATCACAACTACAAAGCAATTAATTCTACAAGAGGGACAGTGCTCTGAAGACTGCAAATGCTGAAGAATCACTAAATATTTAGATGCTTAACTTTGTTTCTCAGATATTTGTAATCACTGAACTAAAGCTGTGTATGTTTTTCGTTTGTGTTTGTTTGGGTTCTTTTAATATATTTCAGTTCTGAGGTGCTTGGGGATTCCAACTCGTTTGGTTTCAAATTTTAACTCTGCCCATGATGTGGATAGAAACCTGAGTATTGATAAGTACTATGACAGCTCTGGAAAGAGTCTTAATATCGGCAAGGATTCCACATGGTAAATATAATTTTTTTTGCATCTCACCAATAATTAGAGAGGATTTTTTAAAAACATGAGGACTAGTAGTACAAAAGCAACTGAGGGGATAAAATTTAATATAAATATCAAAATTAATAAAGTGGAAATCCAATTGGAAAGAAAACATACTTCATGGTTTTGAGATAAGTTAATTCAAACAAACAACCAGCCCAATTTGTTGCAGTGCCAGACCTCAAACATGTTGCAACTTTCTTTAAAAGTGTATTTCAATTGACAATGTACTGGTTCCAAAGGCTCTTTTAATTACTGACACCAAAACAGTCTGTTCCTGACAGCGCAGCTGCATGCTCTTAACTAGTTTACTGCTGCCATAACCTTCTCTCACCCCACAGCCAAAGCCCATGTTTCTCAGCTTAGCCTGTCACCCTCCCCAGGTAGATGGGAGCCTTCCCAAGTTTTTCAGCACTCCTTTAGCTAGACCTTCCCTTTCTGGGAGCTGAAAAAAAAAGAGAACAATCCCACTGCTCTCCAGACTTGGTTACTGGACATTGTAGTGCAGTGCTGTAAACTGCAAGTGAACCATGATCATCAATCAAGCCCAAAAATTTGAGTAGCCAAAGAATAAAACATGATACCACTTTATACCTTAGTTGCCCTCCAGTTTTAAAGTCTTTACTCCACAGCCACTTCACTTTTCAGAAAGTGAACTAACTAGGCCCAAGGGTGTATCAGATAGCTCAAAGTCCCTATGCACACTAGGCTTCACCAAAAATACCATCTTCACTTACTCTGCTTCCTTTCACTGAGTATATGTTGCTGAAGGATACAGGAAGTCTCTCACCTCTTAAAAGTATTAGCCTCTGAACAAAATTCAGCCAATAAATCTTCTTTTCTGGGTCTTCCCGTGACCTAAATTTTACCAATGTTTTGTGCTATCCTTTCCTTTTGGAGTTTGTGGAACTCACTACAACTAGATGCTGTTGAAAACAAAACTATAAAGAGTTTATACACAGGAGAAAAGAGATTCATATAGAATAAGACGACTATTGACCATTAGTAACCCAGCGGTCTCAATATAACATCTAATTCAGAAATTCCCTAATTCTCTGACTGCAAGAAATCAGAGAGCATATCAGGGGAAGGGTCATTCTATTCACGTGCTGTTCTTATCTCTTCTAAACATCTGCTGCTGCACACTACTATAGACGGACTATTGGACTTCACAAGCATTTTATCTGACTCAGTATAGCTAGTTTAAGTTTCTGTCTAAATGAAGCACTTCCCACATTTCAGGGTTACTAAACCCAATCACCAAGCACTGCCTATACTCAAGGCTTAATCTTTCACTTACACTTCACATTGCTCCCAAAGCAAGCTGCTGACATTCTCTCCCTCCCTACCCTGAGGTCTACACCTCAAAAGCAGGAAGTAAATCTGTCCTTTGAAGGAGGTAGTGAGTTGCTGTAACTAGACAGCTTGTGTCATCCTCAAGAACCTTGAAAAAACAAAATTCCCTGCTCCTTTCAAATCAAAAGTTTGTATTACTCTATATTACTATGCTTTCTAGACATTGTTCTTTGTCTCCAGGGATTATCATGTCTGGAACGAAAGCTGGTTCATTCGCCCAGACCTGGGTTCATCATACAATGGATGGCAGGTTTTAGATGCAACTCCACAAGAACAAAGCAAAGGTAACAGTTTAAGTTCTTAGCATGACTTAACATTGCTTCTCCAAACAGAGCACGACTAACAGTTTGATGTTTTTCTAACCCCCATGTTTTAGGATTATTTCAGTGTGGCCCTGCATCTGTCATAGCCATCAAAGAAGGCGATGTAGACTTGGATTACGACACCTTATTTGTGTATACAGAGGTGAATGCCGATTGCAACAGATGGATTGTATACAATGACGGAACTAAGAAAAGAGTTTATTGTGATACTGAAATAATCGGCAGGTTTATCAGCACCAAAGCTGTGGGCAGCAATTCCCGTGTGGATGTCACTTATAATTACAAGTATCCAGAAGGTAAAGGAATTCTCAAAAAAATCATCTCCTTGTTATCACAATTATCCCCTATTGAATTCTTGGTGCTAGGAAGCTAGGTAACATGTTTTGTTTGAGCATCTCTCCCCTTCTGTCAGAAAATATTCAGAAAGCCAGAAAAATTCAGAAAGCCAACTGTGTCCTGGGTGGCATCCCCAGCAGCATGACCAGCAGGTCG